TGGGCATCTGGTGCAGTTAAACTGGTACCATTATCATTATTACAATGAAGATTTTGACTGATTATAGAGTTTTTGCTTATCATTTTGAAAACTATAATACATACAGATTGGAAGAAACTAAACAGCAAAAGTTAGACAATGGATTAGCTCTCTGTAACTTTGAGTACTCCTAGATATGGTATTTTTCGTCTTTTCTCGTTTTGTCTTCCACTGGGGCAGGGGGTATAAATACCAGATGATGTCTTTTTTCAATTCTGACAGGCCTAAAAAAAATCTCACATGTACATATTTTTTTGAAATTTATATCAAAGATTGACATAAGCAATGTTCTAGATGAGTTTTAAAACTAGTGCTAATCAACTATTTTTAAAGGAGTTATGTATGCCCCTGAAAATATAAATTTTATGAAAAAATTCTTTGTAAATGCTCTCAAGCCTACATTTCTTGGAGGATGTTTATGAAACTTTTTTATAGGTTTATATTAGTAACGTCTTGGAAGAATTTCAAAATCAGCACTGATCAATGATTTTTACAGGAGTTATGCATCCCCGTGGATATATAAATTAACGGTATATGAAAAGTTACATTGTAAGCACTCTCAACCATACACTAGTTGAAAGATTTTTATAAAATTAAATCAAAGGTTTATATTAGCAATGTCTTTTCGACGAGTTTGAAAATCAGCTTTGATCAATTATTTTTAGAGGAATTATATCTCTTGGAAGTGTAACTTTTGTGGAAAATTGCATTGTAAATCCCCTCAAGCCTATCTTCCTTTTATAAAAAAAGATTTACATCAATAATGTCTTGGACAAGATTGAAAGTAAGTACAGATCAACTATTTTGACAGGATTTGTGTCCCTTAGAAATGTAATTTATTTTGAAAATTACTTTGTAAGCACTTTAGCTTCTATATTTCTTGTCAGATTTTCTATAATAATGATATGGAAGGTTTGGAAATAGCAATTTTGTGGAAAATTGCATTGTAAGGAGTCTCACACTTATAATTCTTGTTGAAGTTAAAAAAAATTTAAAAAAATAAAAATTTGAAGTTATTGCCCTTGGACTGATAAAACTTATGTATCAGATGGGGACACTGGAAAATTTTTATTTCACTTTTGCCTGTTTTTGTGCTTGGTGCAGATCAAGCTCGTTCCAAATAATTTTTATAGTTTGTTCTTTTGCTGTGTTGTTACACCACTGTCCCAGTTAGGGTCCGGTTGAGCACTCACAAACATGTTAAACCGTGCCACTTAATGTTCCTGGCCAAAGCCAGGAACCTGTAATCTAGGGGTCGCTGCAAATCTCTAACTGCAATATTTGTTGAAGTATAAATTTTAACATTGTTTTTCTTTCGAATTGTTTCAGATAATTTATTGCTAGAGTCTCTTATAGCTTACTATCTGTATGGGTGTTTTTCATGATGAAGGGCTTTCAAGGATATGTAATTTTCCACTTATTTCTTCTTATTTTTATGTAAAGTATTTTTGTCTTTTTGTGATGGTGTTGTATTCTTTTTGTCGAGCCTGCAACTTCTGTCGCAGAATGCGAGACATAGGGATAGTGATCCTGCAGTGGAAGCGATGACAGCATTAATTAAAAACTGAAAAGCTTAATATTTCAGAAGGTAGAAGACATGGATGCTTCATACTTTGTTTATAAATGCCTTATGTTATGAAGTTTCCGTCTGTCATATGTCCATTGTCCTTGACCTCATTTTCATGGTTCAGTGACTACTACACTCTCTTTAAAGATTCCAATTTTTCCAGATTGCTTGACTTTAACAGTGATGATATCACAAAATCTGGAATCTATATCAAAAACTGATTTTTTGTAATCTTAATTTCTCTCTTATTATGAGTAATAGGATAACTATATTTGGTATGTGCATACCTTGCAAGGTCCTCATCCCTGTAAGACAGTTTTCACTTGACCTAGACTTCATTTCATGGATCAGTGAACAAGGTTAAGTTTTCATGGTCAAGTTTATATCTTAAATACTGTGAGCAATAGGTCTACTATATTTGGTGTATGGAAGGTGTACATGTCCAACTGGCAGGTGTCATCTGACCTTGACCTCATTTTCATGGTTCAGTGGTTAAAGTTAAGTTTTAATGTGTTTTGGTCTGTTTTTTTATACTGTATGCAATAGGTCAACTTTATTTGGTGTATGGAATGATGTAAGGTGTATATGTCTATATAAAAAAGAAGATGTGGTATGATTGCCAATGAGACAACTCTTCACAAGAGACCAAATGACACAGAAATTAACAACTGTCTGGAAATTATCAACTGACATTGACCTCATTTTCATGGTTCATTGATCAATGTTAAGTTTTCCTGGTTAAGGTTTCTTAAGATACTATATGCAATGGGTCAACTATATTTAAAGCATGGAATAATTGTAAGGTGAACATGTCTGTGTGGCAGGGTTCATTTGACCTTGACCTCATTTTCATGGTTCGTTGGTCAATATAAAGTTTCCATGGTTTGGTCTGTTTCTAATATACTATAAGCAATAGGTCAACTATATTTGGTGTATGGAATGATTGTACGGTGAACATGTATCTGACTTTATCTGACCTTGACCTCTTATTCTTTGATCATGTTAAGTTTATGTGATACTTGTAGTAAAACTTTATATTTAGGACTAACAACATAAAATCAATGGTCAGTAAAGCAGGCAAGTCATTTCAGCACGTTCATTCTTGGTTTTTTATTGGTATTTGTTATCTTATCTATTCTTACAATGTTCAATTTCTATCTAATTTCTATTAGTGTGTTTACTTATATCATGATGTGTTAACTTATGTCCTGGTGTGTTTACTTATATCCTAGTATGTTTACTTATATCCTGGTTTGTTTACTTATGTCCTGGTGAATTTACTTATGTTCTGAAGTGTTAACTTATATCATGATGTGTTAACTTATGTCCTGGTATGTTTACTTATGTCCTAGCGTGTTTACTTACATCCTGGTTTTTTTACTTATATCCTGATGTGTTTACTTATACCCTGGTGTGTTTACTTATGTCTTGGTGTCTTTACTTAAGTCCTAATGTGTTAAGTTATGTCCTGGTGTGTTTACTTATGTTATGGTGTGGTTTGACACTAATGTCCTGGTGTATTCACGTATGTCCTGGTGTGTTTACTTATGTCCCGGTTTGTCACTTATGTCCTGGTGTATTTACGTATGTCCTGATGTGTTTATTTATGTGCTGGTGTGTTTACTTATGTCCCGGAGTTTACTTATGTCTAGATGTGTTTACTTATGTTTCGGTGTGTTTACTTATGTCATGGTGTGTTTACTTATATCCTGGTGTGTTTACTTATGTCTTAGTGTGCTTACATATATCTAAGTGTGTTTACCTTTGTCTAAGTGTGTTTACTGGTGTCCTGATGTGTTTATTTGTGTCCTGATGTGTTTACTTATGTCGTGTTGTTTACTTATGTTCTTGTGTGTTTACTTATGACCTGGTATGTTTACTTATGTTTTATCATATTTACTTATGTCCTGGTGTAGTTATTTATGTCCTGGTGTGTTAACTTATGTCCTGGTGTTTACGTATATCTTGATGTGTTTACTTATGTCCTGGTGTTTACGTATGTCCTGATGTGTTTATTTATTTCTTGGTGTGTTTACTTATGTTCTGGTGTGTTTACTTATATTCTGGTGTGTTTACTTATGTCCTGGTATTTACTTATGTTCTGGAGTGTTTACTTACGTCCTGGTGTGTTTTTTATGTCCTGGTGAATTTACTTATGTTCTGGTGTATTTACGTATGTCCTGATGGATTGACGTATGTCCTGATATGTTAACTTATGTCCTGGTATGTTAACTTATTTCCTTGCGTGTTTCATATGTCCTGGTGTATTTACTTATGTCCTTGTGTTATTTTTTATGTCATAGGGGATTAACTTCTGCACTGATATGTTTACCCATGTCCTGGTGTGTTTATGCTTGGGATGTTTTATATGTCCTGGGGGATTAACTTCTGTCTTGATCATGATATGTTTACTTATGTCCTGGTATATTTTCTTATATCCTGATGTGCTTACTTAGGTCAGGGTGTGTTTACTTATTACTTAGTGTGTTTATTTATATCGTGATGTGTTAACTTATGTTCTGATGTGTTTACTTATGTCCTGGTGTGTTACACATGTCCTGGTGTATATACAGTAATAGTGTTGTATTTTATTCTATTCTCCAGAATAACTTCTTTTCCCCGTAGTCTTCTGTAATCAAATCTCTGATGATTTTGTTCTCATTGTTTGTAGCGGTTATATTTATTGAATCTGTAAATAACAGATTTTTCTTGTTTATGCATGGCTTTATGGTCTCCTTCAATATTCATTCCTTTGAAGACATACCTAACAGGTACTAAGTAGTTAATTGCTAATTTTCGTGTGACTCCTATCGCATTTGTATAAATAGATCATTCATTATTGAGAGTGAAGTACAGTACAGCAACTTAATTATCATCATGTTATATAAAGTGTCAGAAAAAGTTGATTCAATCACTGTTAATATATATTATAAATTTCGGGGTATTTCCACTTCATACAGTTTAGCTTTGTGGTTCCCAATATCTGGTGTTGAACTGCCAATCAAAAGTTTTCCTAATTTGCTGCAAAGCATTGAACTTGGGAGTAAAATATCATCTTCTACGGTGTTACAGTAGGCCAAATGTTCTCCTGAATGGTCTAGAAAATGTAGAGTGTTATTCAGCATGTCTGATACAACAACATTATTACTTGGTTAGGTTGCTATACATTGAGGTTTGAATGGATGATTCTGACAATTGACATCAGGATGGCCAGTATAGATATTACGGACAACTCTTTTCTCCATTATAACTACTCTTCCTTCGTAGTCCTCTGCAGTTAAGTCTATAATGAATGTGTTCCCATTCATTTTAGTGTTTATATCTGTTGGATTCTGTTGGTTCTGACCTAAGTAAACACATCATTGCAGAGGACTACGAAGGAATAATAGTTATAATGGAGACCCCACCAGGTACGGAGTAGTATACTGTTATTTTCTTTACAACCCCTACTATCAGTTGGTTTCTCTATAGACCCCCATCAGGTACGGAGTAGTCTATTGGTATCTTCTTTACAACCCCTACTATCAGTTGGTTTCTCTATAGACCCCCACCAGGTACGGAGTAGTCTATTGGTATCTTCTTTACAGCTCCTACTATCAGTTGGTTTCTCTATAGACCCCCATCAGGTACGGAGTAGTCTATTGGTATCTTCTTTACAGCTCCTACTATCAGTTGGTTTCTCTATAGACCCCTACAAGGTACGGAGTAGTCTATTGGTATCTTCTTTACAGCTCCTACTATTAGTTGGTTTCTCTATAGATCCCCACCAGGTACGGAGTTGTCTATTGGTATCTTCTTTACATCTCTTACTACATGTATCAGTTGGTTTCTCTATAGACCCGCACCAGGTATTGGTATTTTCTTTACAGCTCCTACTATCAATTGGTTTCTCTATAGACCCGCACCAGGTATTGGTATCTTCTTTACAGCTCCTACTATCAGTTTGTTTCTCTATAGACCCGCACCAGGTATTGGTATCTTCTTTACAGCTCCTACTATCAGTTGGTTTCTCTATAGACCCGCACCAAGTATTGGTATCTTCTTTACAGCTCCTACTATAAGTTGGTTTCTCTTTAGACCCGCACCATATATTGGTACCTTCTTTACATCTCCTACTATCAGTTGGTTTCTCTATAGACCCGCACCAGGTATTGGTATCTTCTTTACATCTCCTACTATCAGTTGTTTTCTCTATAGACCCGCACCAGATATTGGTATCTTCTTTACAGCTCCTACTATCAGTTGGTTTCTCTATAGACCCGCACCAGATATTGGTATCTTCTTTACAGCTCCTACTATCAGTTGGTTTCTCTATAGACCCGCACCAGATATTGGTATCTTCTTTACAGCTCCTACTATAAGTTGGTTTCTCTTTAGACCCGCAACAGATATTGGTACCTTCTTTACATCTCCTACTATCAGTTGGTTTCTCTATAGACCCGCCCCAGGTATTGGTATCTTCTTTACATCTCCTACTATCAGTTGGTTTCTCTATAGACCCGCACCAGATATTGGTATCTTCTTTACATCTCCTACTATCAGTTGGTTTCTCTATAGACCCGCACCAGATATTGGTATCTTCTTTACAGCTCCTACTATCAGTTGGTTTCTCTATAGACCCGCACCAGATATTGGTATCTTCTTTACAGCTCCTACTATCAGTTGGTTTCTCTATAGACCCGCACCAGATATTAGTATCTTCTTTACAGCTCCTACTATCAGTTGGTTTCTCTATAGACCCGCACCAGGTATTGGTATCTACTTTACAGCTCCTACTATCAGTTGGTTTCTCTATAGATCCGCACCAGATATTGGTATCTTCTTTACAGCTCCTACTATCAGTTGGTTTCTCTATAGACCCGCACCAGATATTGGTATCTTCTTTACAGCTCTTACTATCAGTTGGTTTCTCTATAGACCCGCACCAGGTATTGGTATCTTCTTTACAGCTCCTTCTATCAGTTGGTTTCTCTATAGACCCGCACCAGATATTGGTATCTTCTTTACAGCTCCTACTATCATTTGGTTTCTCTATAGACCCGCACCAGGTATTGGTATCTTCTTTACAGCTCCTTCTATCAGTTGGTTTCTCTATAGATCCGCACCAGATATTGGTATCTTCTTTACAGCTCCTTCTATCAGTTTGTTTCTCTATAGACCCGCACCAGATATTGGTATCTTCTTTACAGCTCCTACTATCAGTTGGTTTCTCTATAGACCCGCACCAGGTATTGGTATCTTCTTTACAGCTCCTTCTATCAGTTGTTTTCTCTATAGATCCGCACCAGATATTGGTATCTTCTTTACAGCTCCTTCTATCAGTTGGTTTCTCTATAGACCCGCACCAGGCATTGGTATCTTCTTTACAGCTTCTACTATCAGTTGGTTTCTCTATAGACCCGCACCAGGCATTGGTATCTTCTTTACAGCTCCTACTATTAGTTGCTTTTCTCTATCAATACTGATTGGCTATACAATTAATGGTTAAACATAGTAGTCAGAAGTTGTTAGTTCATTTCCATTTCTATCCAGAATCTTCAGATCAGAACTTTTATCTGAAATAAGGAGATCACCATTTCTATCAATGGCTATATGATACGCATAATCCTGTATGTGTGATAGTTCTTCAACAGTTCTATCCGGTTGTAATGCTACTTTCTGTATAGTTCCTACACCCGGTGAGTCGTGGATCCAGAAAGTATTTCCAGAACTTTGTAAAATCCCTGTAATGAGAGGTAGTTCTGTTGTGTACTCTTTAATAGCTTTTACTCTAATCTTTTTGTCTTTACGATTCTTGTCTTGAATTGATCCAAAATAAGACTGAAGTATCTGCGTTTCAACAAAAGTTGGCATTTGACTGTTATTATGATTAAGGCTTGGTATCTCCTTCCATTTGGTATCTTCAAAAAAGTTAACACATCCTTACTAGTGCTGATATCTTCTATTAACCTCAATATGTCTGTTATGTGTTCTTCCAAAAATGTCACTTTCCTACATTCTGTTTTAATGGTTATCTTTTTTAGTTTCCAATGTTTATTAATTTCACTTACAAGCTCATCAGCATATTTATCACCAGCTTCTCTCAAAAAGTTTTGCTGTTTTAGGATATTTTCTTTTATTTGTTCAATGTTTATAGACTTGTCTGTTTCCTTTATTGAGTTTAATAGTTCATTATTCTTTATCCAATCTTTATGCTGCTTTCAAGCCTTTCTTTTCATCACTTTCAGTCTATTCTTATTTATCCTGAAAGCATCTCCAATCTCTACTAATTCATGCTGTTTGTGGACTGTAGTCACACCAGTAGGACAAACTAAGTGATCACAAGTTTCACAGAACAAGCAGCAAACTTGTCCTGAATGGTCTTTACAGTGGACGTACCTATAGTCCAACTTTGGTTCTGAATCATGCCCATGAAGTCCTACTTCCTTAATTGTAATTATTTTATGGTCTTTTTCCTTTTTAATCTTAGAATTTACATTGATCACACATTAAGAGATTACAGTCAATGCATTTCCATTGAATTTTTATCTCCATTTCACATAATTCACAAGCAAGTAGCAACTGAGCTTTTTGGGTTGACTTTGACACTGCCATTTTGACTCTTAGTATATATTGTTCTCTGATATACTAGTATATTACTGATAATTAATGAAGTCGGACGACTGTTTTATCATAAAACAATACTTAAACTTTTACCTACAACAGATACTATGATAAATTCATGATACGTTATATGCATATTAAAAGTATATGTATATTTGATAAAAAATGTCTTTTGGTTTTTTGTGTAGTTAGGTTGCCATTGTATTATTCTACATTTCCTGATCAAAGGACTTACAATAACCTTGTTAACACCTTCATGGAATGCTATAATAGTTAGATAGAAGCTTCTTCAAGATCAAGAAAAAGCATCTGAAGAAAATGCTATGATGAGTTTGATTACATTATCTGGCCATGGCAAAAAACGACAAAAAATAGACAACGATATACAAAACACAAGATAAGACACTAACGACTGAGAAAAAATCAACACTTGAAACCTTTGGTTTTTATAGCTTACTTGTAAGCAGCAGCCCTTTGTAAAGGAAATCGTGATAGGAAATACAAGCTCGGGTTATTGTTTCAGCTGGAGATATATAATCATACGCAGGCGCTGCTGGAATGCTGCTACATAGAAATGGAGAACTAGAAATGGAAAGTTCACATATGGGAAGCTGAAATCATCTGTTTTGTCGTATTTTTTTCTCAACCAATCCTCATTGTCAATTTCTAGATATAAGTCATGATATGAGGCAGACATAACGGTATCTGTTGTATCATTAGCGATTCGAAATTTGTACAGGTTCATCATGATATATTACATAATGGGATAGTAGTCAGTCAGTGACATAAGGGTCTAACTTGAGACCGGTTTATAATTACATGATGGTATAGTAGTCATTCAGAGACATAAGGGTCTGACTATAGACCGGTGTATAATTACATGATGGGATAGTAGTCAGTCAGTGAGATAAGTATCTGACTTGAGACCGGTGTATAATTACATGATGGGATAGTAGTCAGTCAGTGACATAAGGGTCTGACTTTAGACCGGTGTATAATTACATGATGGGATAGTAGTCAGTCAGTGACATAAGGATCTGACTTGAAACCGGTAAATAATAACATGATGGGATAGTAGTCAGTCAGTGACATAAGGGTCTGACTTGAGACCGGTGTATAATTACATGATGGGATAGTAGTCAGTCGGTGACATAAGGATCTGACTTGAGACCGGTGTATAATTACATGATGGGATAGTAGTGAGTCAGTGATATAAGGGTCTGACTTGAGACCAGTGTATAATTACATGATGGGATAGTAGTCAGTCAGTGACATAAGGGTCTGGTTTGAGACCGGTGTATAATTACATGATGGGATAGTAGTCAGTCAGTGACATAAAGGTCTGAGTTTAGACAGACATATAATTACATAGTTGGATAGAAGTCATTCACTGAAGTAATTGGTCCTGACTTTAGCCAGGCTGCCATTTAGTTACATGTGTGGAATAGAAGTCAGTCTCTGAAATATGGTCCTGACTTTAGACGGACATATAATTACATGGTGGGATAGTAGTCAGTTACTGACATAAGGTCCTGACGCTAAATGAAATGTCAATATAATCCTTCCATGGACAGACATACAATTACATAGTGGAATAGTAGTCTGCCATGTTATAAGGTCGTGACTTTAATCAGGCATCTAATTACACATGTTGGCAAAGTGGACAGCCATTTACCTAAAGTCCGTCCTGGGTTTTTGTCAGCCATTTAATTACACATGTTGACACAGTTGACAACCGCTGGCATAAGGTTCTGCAAAATGTTAACTATATACACAACATACTTGTATTACTACTCAAAAAAGTAAAATTCACTGTTGTGAAATTTAAATGTTCATATAAGTTTTATCTTTTATCAATAGAAGAATTAGTCTGAAGAAGGAAGTCCTCATTTTGTAGCTCATTCGTTATCATGACGCTGGTAGTTAAAATGACATTTGTTTTCTGTGTAAACGAATTATACGTGACATGATTTTACATTTTTTAAATAAAAAAAATAGATTGAAATCGGGTTTAATAAAAATATGTCTGAAACAATTATGAGTGGCTGTCTTATAAAAACATGGAACCAATGCAGTTGGAAGGGTCGTGGTCGGACAATTAATATAGATAAGCAGAGAATTTAATTTTGGTTCATTTATATGTTTCGGAGTTTAGTATGACGTCTATTCGCTGAACTAGTATACATTATTGTTTCGTGGCCAGCTGAAGCCCGCCTCCGGGTGCGGGATTTTCTCGCTGCGATGAAGACCCAGTGGTGGCCTTGGATTGTTTTCTGCTCTTTGGTCTAGTTGTTGTCTCTTTGACGCATTCCCCAGTTTCCATTCTCAATTTAAATTGACGAACTTGTTCATGGTTAACCATCATAATTCTATTTCATACATTATCCTAAAGGGCAAAGTATAAGACCACGTATACGTTTGAACAAATTAAAATAAAATAGACTGGTCATTTGAAAATGAACTTTTGATAAAATATTGAAGTGTCTAATTGCAAATTCTTGCTTGTGTGGTGACTATGACGAGAATTAAATGGTTAGTTTACATTTAGTTTGGTAGTAAACGTGACATGCCAACAATATCAGTCAATTAAGACAGTATTAATATAGTTATATCAACTTCATAAAACAATTAAGATAATTACATTATCAGTGATCGGGAACGCACTATCTTAACAGTGAACCATTCCTACTACTATTTAGTGTCAGAGTCAATCTCTAAAACTAAGATAAACACATTAAACTATATAATTTTATCATAAAAATAAATAGATCATACTGTTGGAGATGATAGGAGAGGATAAGAATTTTCAGAAGTCGAAATTTATTGATTTTCTTACCATTTTTTTGTTTTTCCATAAAGTTTAAGCTTAAGTAGCTCTCAGTTGGGTCTCTGATTAAGTTGTCTGATTCGGGTTGGTAGGTCTGGATGGACAGACGAATAAAAGAAAACATGAAAAGGAAAATAAGAACGTGTAATGACAACATCATATTTTATACGATAAAATAAGTGATAGTAGTATTAACATTATTCAGTCATAAATAATTTGGATGATAAGATTTAGATAATTCTTAATTTGTTTAACTTCTGTTATACTTGATATATTTCTTTTTCAAGCCGCTGTATCTGTACCCGCTAGGTCTGTACCCGCTGTATCTGTACCCGCTAGGTCTGTACCCGCTAGGTCTGTACCCGCTAGGTCTGTACCCGCTGTATCTGTACCCGCTAGGTCTGTACCCGATAGGTCTGTACCCGCTGTATCTGTACCCGCTAGGTCTGTACCCGCTAAGTATGTACCCGCTGTATCTGTACCCGCTGTATCTGTACCCGCTAGGTCTGTACCCGCTAGGTCTGTACCCGCTGTATCTGTACCCGCTGTATCTGTACCCGCTAGGTCTGTACCCGCTAGGTCTGTACCCGCTGTATCTGTACCCGCTGTATCTGTACCCGCTAGGTCTGTACCCGCTAGGTCTGTACCCGCTAGGTCTGTACCCGCTGTGTCTGTACCCGCTGTGTCTGTACCCGCTGTATCTGTACCCGCTAGGTCTGTACCCGCTAGGTCTGTACCCGCTGTATCTGTACCCGCTAGGTCTGTACCCGCTAGGTCTCTACCCGCTGTATCTGTACCTGCTGTATCTGTACCCGCTAGGTCTGTACCCGCTAGGTCTGTACCCGCTAGGTCTGTACCCGCTAAGGTCTGTCACCGCTGTATCTGTACCCGCTAGGTCTGTACCCGCTGTATCTGTACCCGCTGTATCTGTACCCGCTAGGTCTGTACCCGCTAGGTCTGTACCCGCTGTATCTGTACCCGCTAGGTCTGTACCCGCTAGGTCTGTACCCGCTGTATCTGTACCCGCTGTATCTGTACCCGCTAGGTCTGTACCCGCTAGGTCTGTACCCGCTAGGTCTGTACCCGCTTAGGTCTGTACCCGCTGTATCTGTACCCGCTAGGTCTGTACCCGTTGTATCTGTACCCGCTGTATCTGCACCCGCTGTATCTGTACCCGCTAGGTCTGTACCCGCTAGGTCTGTACCCGCTAGGTCTGTACCCGCTAGGTCTGTACCCGCTGTATCTGTACCCGCTAGGTCTGTACCCGCTGTATCTGTACCCGCTAGGTCTGTACCCGCTGTATCTGTACCCGCTGTATCTGTACCCGCTAGGTCTGTACCCGCTAGGTCTGTACCCGCTAGGTCTGTACCCGCTGTGTCTGTACCCGCTGTATCTGTACCCGCTGTATCTGTACCCGCTAGGTCTGTACCCGCTGTATCTGTACCCGCTGTATCTGTACCCGCTAGGTCTGTACCCGCTAGGTCTGTACCCGCTAGGTCTGTACCCGCTAGGTCTGTACCCGCTGTGTCTGTACCCGCTGTATCTGTACCCGCTAGGTCTGTACCCGCTAGGTCTGTACCCGCTGTACTGTAAATTCAGAAATTATTGCGAGGTTTTTATTTTTGCGAATAATGCGACTGGGTAAACATCGCAATGATAAGAACTCGCATTCTGATATATGACAGATATATCTGTATGCAGCCTTTCCATAAAGCGCAACTATCAATCTCGCAATTATGTTAATTCTGCAAAAATTGCAAAAATAAATGCACGCAATAATTTCTGAATTTACAGTATCTGTACCCAATAGGTCTGTACCCGCTAGGTCTGTACCCGCTGTGTCTGTACCCGCTGTATCTGTACCCGCTAGGTCTGTACCCGCTAGGTCTGTACCCGCTGTGTCTGTACCCGCTAGGTCTGTACCCGCTAGGTCTGTACCCGCTAGGTCTGTACCCGCTAGGTCTGTACCCGTTAGGTCTGTACCCGCTGTATCTGTACCCGCTGTATCTGTACCTGCTAGGTCTGTACCCGCTGTATCTGTACCCGCTAGGTCTGTACCCGCTAGGTCTGTACCCTCTGTATCTGTACCCGCTGTATCTGTACCCGCTGTATCTGTACCCGCTAGGTCTGTACCCGCTAGGTCTGTACCCGCTAGGTCTGTACCCGCTAGGTCTGTACCCGCTAGGTCTGTACCCTCTGCATCTGTACCCGCTGTATCTGTACCCGCTGTATCTGTACCCGCTGTATCTGTACCCGCTAGGTCTGTACCCGCTAGGTCTGTACCCGCTAGGTCTGTACCCGCTGTATCTGTACCCGCTGTATCTGTACCCGCTGTATCTGTACCCGCTAGGTCTGTACCCGCTGTATCTGTACCCGCTAGGTCTGTACCCGCTGTATCTGTACCCGCTAGGTCTGTACCCGCTGTATCTGTACCCGCTAGGTCTGTACCCGCTAGGTCTGTACCCGCTGTATCTGTACCCGCTAGGTCTGTACCCGCTAGGTCTGTACCCGCTGTATCTGTACCCGCTAGGTCTGTACCCGCTGTATCTGTACCCGCTAGGTCTGTACCCGCTAGGTCTGTACCCGCTGTATCTGTACCCGCTAGGTCTGTATCCGCTGTATCTGTACCCGCTAGGTCTGTACCCGCTGTATCTGTACCCGCTAGGTCTGTACCCGCTAGGTCTGTACCCGCTGTATCTGTACCCGCTAGGTCTGTACCCGCTGTATCTGTACCCGCTAGGTCTGTACCCGCTAGGTCTGTACCCGCTGTATCTGTACCCGCTGTATCTGTACCCGCTAGGTCTGTACCCGCTAGGTCTGTACCCGCTGTATCTGTACCCGCTAGGTCTGTACCCGCTGTATCTGTACCCGCTGTATCTGTACCCGCTGTATCTGTACCCGCTAGGTCTGTACCCGCTGTATCTTTACCTGCTGTATCTGTACCCGCTAGGTCTGTACCCGCTGTATCTGTACCCGCTGTATCTGTACCCGCTAGGTCTGTACCCGTTAGTCTGTATGACTGTTCACTTCTAACAGACAATGTTGCCCTTCATTTGGTGTGACTTTCTTGGTAAAGATTTATTTTATTTTATTTTCAGTTCATTGCCTGGTCTCAGTTTGCCCTTGCTTATAAAAGACATTTAATGATTTTACACTGAACAAAATCATACAGAAACAGGAAAAACATTTTAATGTGGAATCTATCTATTTTGTGAAGAGGAAATAAATATAAGGAGATTTGGTATGAGTGCCAATGAGACAACTCTCCATCCAAGTCACAATTTGTAAAAGTAAAATTGAGAATGGAAATGGGGAATATGTCAAAGAGACAACAACCCGACCAAAGAGCAGACAACAGCCGAAGGCCACCAATGGGTCTTCAATGCAGCGAGAAAATCCCGCACCCGAAGGTGGTCCTCAACTGGCCCCCAAATAAAATTGTGTGCTAGTTCAGTGAAAATGGACGTCACACTAAACTCCAAAACATATAAATGAACTAAAATTAAAAAACATACAAGACTAACAAAGGCCAGAGGCTCCTGACTTGGGACAGGCGCAAAAATGCGGCGGGTTTAAACATGTTTTGTGAGATCTAAACCCTCCCCCGATACCTCTAGTCAATGTAGAAAAAAATAAACTATTATCGGTCAAAGTAGGCTACTTATGAAAAGAAGCTTTCCAATCTTTTGAACTATGCAGTGACACTGCTTCGATATGTAATTTTGATTGTAACAAAATTATTTCGCATTGCTGAACATGTAACTTATTATGTATGTTGCATGATAACTCAAAGTACAATTTAGTTTCTATACCATTTTTGTCTCGCCTTGACGGAGTCAAAAAGCGAGATATAGGTATGCTGTTTCCGGCGTCGGCGGCGTCAACAATGTATTAGTTTGTGATTAGGTCTAGTTCATGGTGAACCACTAGTGGTAGGTCAATGATATTTGGTATGCAGTTGTATTAACATTGGCACATCTCATTACCATGGAGATTATTTGGCCCCGCCCCCTCAGTCAAGGTCTATTGACTGAAACTTTTCATAGTTTACATGTATTAGTTTGTGATTAGGTCAATTTATGGGGAACCACTAGTGGTAGGTCAATGATATTTGGTATGCTGTTGTATAAGCATTGGCATATCTCATTTCCATGGAGACGTTGGCTCTGTCCCCTTAGTCATGGTCTATAGACTTTGAAAATTTTGCTAAGTTAACATGTATTAGTTTGTGATTAGGTCAGTTCAGTTGCATAACTTACATGTTAAAGTATTGCTATTTTAATTTCAACATTTGCATTATCAAAATTACAAAAAGGCGAGACATATCTCTGTGATAACAGTTTATGATTATTTGTATATTCAAATATCTAAAGAAAACAGAATATTGAATATGGACATTCTTAACAAAAACCAAGATGCTATAGAAACTAAATCAATGTATAATTTTGTGCATCCGATGATTTTCACAGTTTGTTCTTATATTGTGGGTGTTACCCAAGTACCTTAGTGTTTTTATCTTAAGAAATTCCTTAGTTTTCTGAAAGATTTCAAGTTCCAACACCTCTTGTAGGTCTTATAGAGTACGTGAGTGCCGGCATCCATCCAAGTCTTCGTGGACCGCGGGTTTGATTTCCATAGACAAGACACGAACTGGAAGTGACATGATTAGATATGCAGGTCTATGGCCTTTGAATAAACTACTTAGTACTACAAGAGAAAGAAGTAAGCTTGTAAAGCGGCATGACCTGAGAGTTTACAATATTCCATTAAGAATCCAATTCGAATTAGAAAACAAATGCGTCAAATATATTTTAGACGATTTAGAATTGACTGGTGATAAATTTTCACCCCTCCCTGACTGTTTCCTCACAAGCTATTGTCAGTAGTAATTATAGGATAATTATATCTGAACATACAAATCATTGAAATCTCTGTGGAAATTACAGTTTCACGACTTGGATTCTGGGCATTAACGTTCAAAATTACATTGGTAGAAAATTACAATTTTAATCTTTAAAGAAGACCTCATTAAGCCGAGACAATTTGAAGCCGTTACCCAATGAGAACGCTGAGATTACAATATATTCTAATAACTTCAGGAGCTTCTTCATTTTCTTAAGGATAGAAAGTATTCCGTTGATGAGGTCGGTTGTAAATCAATTATTTTTTCATCTAAATAGGAAGGGAAAACTGTGATGTTTTAGATACGTGGATTAGTGTTACAACACAAACTATAATGACTTTCCCAAGATTGGTTTACTCCTAACAAGATTCTCATGCTGAATTCACTGTGACGTAGGACAAAGACAAATTACCATTGTTAAAAAGAATTTATCATTTATTTTATATATACTTGAAAGAGTCATTTTTGTCCACTTCGTTCAGAAGCTTGAAAAAGATGTACAGTCGGTATGCTTTAATAGCTGTCTATGCGGTATGGGTTTTACTCATTGTTGAAGGTCGTACGGTGACCTATAGTTGTTAATTTCTGTGTCATTTGGTCTTTGGTGGAGAGTTGTCTCATTATCTTCTTATTTTTATATGTCCTTAACCGAGTCGTTCGTTAGACATCACTGGAAGTCTGTATAAAACCCAAATAACAAAAATGGTCGCGTTTATATATCCCTTTAATGTATACTGTGTTAAAACAAATTATGCAAAGTGTGCAAATAGGTTTTACATGATAACATGACCTAGATTTATAGAATGAAATACATTTTCTGTGTCAGATCATCAACAAATTTTCATGCATGGATTTAGGCATTGCGATTTTCGTCACTGCACATTACTCAGTGTTGCCCAAATATCTGTTTCAAGAAATCATTATCAATGCCATTGTTCTGTGAGAGGGGGGGGGGGGTATTCTAACCTCTTCTAAATCAAAGTGCACGTGTGAAGATTTTTATCGTACTAAGAGCATGTCAATAGATCTCCACCCTGCTACAGTTTTTTTCTCTCATTTTCTGTTATGGAAGTGTGCTCAAAGTAAATTTAGGGGTATTAACACGGACATGCCATTGGTTCATATCAATACGTTAGTATCTTCTTTGTTTATTTTTTATTTTTATTTTTTTTTTTTTGTAAATTCTCTGGTTTTTAGTTTGAGTAGTATTCCTATACTTTGCAGCGATACAATTTCGTATTCAAACAATTATCTATGTAACCTGACGAAAACCATGGTCACTTGTAACTATGAACTATTGTATCAAAAGTAGAGACATGCTACTGTAAATTCACTGTTAATCTAACCGATTAAGAAGACAGGTATAGCTGATATGCTGTTTAAACGTAATTTAAATGATTGGTTCTTTGGTGTGTAATTTGCCATTATTATTTTTATTTAGTTAATATTTTGATTTTGTTATATTATAAAATATTCCAGAATCCGGCCAGTTGCTTATATTTTGTTTGGTTTATCAATGAAGTTTTATTAAATTATTTATTTTGTATTTTAACACCCGTTTAAAAGAAAGAAAAATACATTCAATCACTCCTTTCGATTATTTAACCATTTAGCCATTTAAGCTGTAAAAAATTATTGGAAAAATTAAATATTTTAATTAGCAATGAGAATAATCTTTGTATAATTACACCCAGTTTGACATGTTACACGTGAACAGATTGATCGTTTCAGCCATTTAACCACTTTGTTGACAGTAAAAATCATTTCTGTCGTCTGTATCAAATGCCGCATGAATTTTATTGAAAAGATTTCCTATTGACAAAAACGGGGGCTTTGATGTTCATTAACATATATTTTCACTTTCATTAAGCTGATAGACATCTTGACAGGCAAGAATGTGGCCATTATATCCTAAAATATTAAAGGAAATTACATTTTTCTCTATAATCCGTTTTTACATCTTTTTCTGTTGAGAAGAATTCTATCATGATTGGCAACAAATATACTTTCATCCCTCATAGAAAATTAGAAAACCTACAAATACATAATAATCACGCGTTTGTCCGGATAGAAAAGACTTTTAATATTTTTCAAATTAGTTTCATGAATAATAAGTTGTATATAAATGTCTAAGATAGTATATATAATCTCCGTTGTCTGTCATTGTTTTCATACCTATATTGTATGTTATCAGCTGTGACAACTCCAAGCGGATTGGCTAGGATTTACATGTAGATCTTGCAGCTAAGACTTTCATATCCTTAAACATGGAAAGACTGGACACCAGAAGACATACTGGGAACTCAGATATTTCCCATCAAATTAGAGGTTAACTAAACAGTGTCCATTTATAGGAACTGTATTGTATCAAAAGGTCGAAATTCAACTTTATGACATTAGAATCTTGCCAAAAGTTTTCTATATGCCTTAGGTTGTACTCATACCGAGGGGGTGCTCACTTCCCGAATCAATTTTTTTTTGTATTTTTTTCTTCTTTTGTCTAGATCCCACTTTTTTATCCCCTATATCTTATATCCAAAAAGCGGGGCATCCTCTCGCATACTGTTTTGTTTGATGGTGATGATGATGATGGATGGCTGCTGAACGTCCAGCGGCAAATTAATATGCATATTCAGGACGAGAACTTGTTAATGTAATATGAAATTTAGCCCTGCTTTGTACTAGACCGACACGCTGAGCCCGATTTTTAACGTGCCCGTTCACAAGGTAACAGTCCGCAGGAAGACATGTCACCTTACGCGGACACATCATTCTGACTCCGAGCTAACCAGTCTTTGCTCTTACTCCTTAATGTCGCGTGCTTAGCGGAGAAGAAGCAAATACCAATTTTAAAGTCTTCGGTTTGACCCGGCCGGGGTTCGAACCCACGACCTCCCGCACTCGAGGTGAACACGCAACCACGAGACCACCGAGGCGGTTGTTTTGTTTGTTCCTAGTATTTCAGCGTGTAATGCTGTGGATATTGATAACTGTTGTCTAATCCAATGATCTCAGTACTATTTAAATCCTTGTCTAATCTATAAAATAGTACTTTACAAATTTTCAAATGAAAGTTAAATGGGTCTGAAAACATCCTTGGCTTGTGTTCGATCCTAATACCGGTATCTGGATACAGTTACTGACCACGTGGGCTATAGTCTTAGTGGATTACGTTTGTCTGCATGTCTTTTTGAATCTATTTGCTAAGTTTTGTGCTGTAATGAGAAAACTGACTCCACTCTGGTCTTATTCATAAAATAAGAAGATGTGGTATGATTGCAAATGAGACGACTCTCCACAAGAGACCAAATGACACAGAAATTAACAACTACATGTATAGGTCACCGTACGGCCTTCAACAATGAGCAAAGCCCACATCGCATAGTCAGCTATAAAAGGACCCGAAATGACAACTGTTAAACAATTCAAACGAGAAAAGTAACGGCCTAAATGATGCCCAAAATAATGAACAAAAAACAAATATGTTCATAAAAACGAACGACAACCACTGAATTACAACCTCCTGATTTGGAACAGGTACATACAAAATGTTGCGGGGTTAAACTCGTTTGAAGGCGCCAACCCTCCCCTAACCTGGGACAGTAGTATAACAGTTCAACATAAGAACAAACTATAAAAATCAGTTGGAAAAGGCTTAACTCATCAGATGAATACAAATAGAAATACATCCAACAAAAACACAGAGTGGACGTGGACGGGTACTTATCATGTGACATCCCCACAACAAAATGACACTAAGTACAGATCTGAGAGTACTCGCAGTTACTGACAGCTAGTTCAAAGCCAATAACAAATAATAAAAAAAAATCATGTGTCTAAGACTAAAATATCAAATTATTCGTCTGTTTGTGTGATCGAACTTTCTCAGTTTTGTTATCAAAGTTAATACTATCACTTTGATAATAGTTTCATTGAGTAAATGGATATTGATATACTTTTGAAGAGAGTGAAAGACTGAGAGGCAGGGAGGGAGAGTAGGGATGATTTGAATTGTCTCGTTAATCATTGTATTTGATATAAGTAACACTGTTATGGGAAGTAGTTTGGATTGAAACTGGATATACGAAACCTAGTTTGTATTTGTCCTTGTCAGCTTGTTTTAAAAAGTGTTCATGGGTATGTAATACTCCTGATTTAATATTAAGGTAATTCCCACTGATATTGAGCATGTTGGCACAGAAACGAAGTGTGTTAAACAGCTGACAGCTTCCAAAACTTATATACAAACACATGTATCATACCATTTTCAGCTTTTTTCTTAATTGTTTTCAACTGTTTTACACGAAAACAATGAATCAGAAAATTGAGCTCAGGGTCAAATGAACTTGCAAAACGGATATGTACACCTTACAATTCCATACAACAAATGTAGTTTGATGATTTATTGCGTATAATATCTGAGTAATGGAATTAATCACAAAAACCTATTGACCAATGAACTATGCAAATGAGGTCAAGGTTAAGCGAACCTTGTCTGACAATCGTGTTTTCCTTGCAATGATTCTGTTTACCTGATATAGTTATGCTATTACTCATAATAAGTGAAATGATCACATAAACCAGCTATATTTTTTAAGCATGCACTGAACCATGCAAATGAGGTCAAGGACAACCGTGACACATACACCAGACAGACACTTCAGAACTTAAGGCATCTGTGAATTTGTGGAGGTGGTTTAGTTATTAGTTGGAATTGGCTTTGAACTAGCTTTCATTAATGAAAGTACTCTAAGATCGGATCATTGTGTTCTTTTGTCTTTTTGTTAGTTTTTTTGTGTGCTTAGTGTCGATCTAATGAGTTAAGCCTTTTCAAACTGATTTTTATAGTTTGTCATTAATATATTGTGCAGTTAAATCACTGTCTTAGGTTAGAGAAGAGTTGGGTGCTCACAAACATGTTTAAGTCAGGAACCTGTTTCAGTGGTTGTCGTTTATTGCTGTGGTTCTTAAGCGTTTCTCGTTTCTCGTTTTTATCGAACCTGCGACTTTTGTCGCAAAAGCGAGACATAGCGATCCTACATTCCGTCGTCGGCGTCCACAAATATTCACTCTAAAGTTTTTGAAATTTTAATAACTTTCTTAAACTATCATGGATTTTACCAAACTTGATCAGAAGCTTGTTTATGTTCATAAGATAGTATCCAGAAGTAAATTTTGTAAAAAAAAAAAATCTGTTTTTCCGTATTTTACTTATAAATGGACCTGGTACTATTATACTATTAGTATAATAGTCCCAGAATGGACTTAGTTTTTCTGCCAGTTAACATTACATTCACTCTGTGGTTAAAGTTTTTAAAATTTTAATAACTTTCTTAAACTATCCTGGATTTGTACCAAACTTGGACAGAAGCTTGTTTATGATCAAAAGCTAGTATCTAGAAAGAATATTTGTAAAAATTTATTTCCTGTTTTTCCGTATATAACTTATAAATGGACTTAGTTTTTCTTCCAGTTAACATTACATACAGTCTGCAGTTAAATTTTTTAAAACATTTAATAGATTCATAAAGTAGGCGAGACACTGGGTTCCGCGGAACCCTTACGAATTTTTCATATAGATTAGACCGTTGGTTTTCCTGTTTGAATTGTTTTACACTAGTCATTTTGGGGCCCTTTTATAGCTTGCTGTTAGGTGTGAGCTAAGGCTCCGTGTTGAAGGCCGTACTTTGACCTATAATTGTTTACTTTTTACGCATTGTAACTTGGATCTGAGACTACTATAACACAGTGTTATAGTAGTCTCAGCTTGGATGGAGAGTTGTCTCATTGGCACTCATACCACATCTTCTTATTTCTATTAACCCTGCCAAATTCTAAATGTGCCTGTCCCAAGTCAGAAGCCTTCAAATTAGGGTGGTCTTTGGTTGCAATCTGCCTTTTTTGCTTTTAGGTTTTCTCTTTTAGCATAAATCAGGCCGTTGGTTTCCTCTTTTAAATTGATTAACATTTTATCATGCTGGGGCCTTTCATAGCTTACTAAATGGTATTGGTTTTGCTCATTGTTGAAGTCCATACAGTGTGCTTTTGTTGTTTACATCCTTGTTGTTTGGTCTCTGGTGAATAGAAATCATACCACAGGGGCGGATCCAGCCTTTTATAAAAGGGGGGTTCCTAACCCAGGATAAAGGGGGGGTTCCAACTATATGTCCCTATTCAAATGCATTGATCATCAAAAAAAAGGGGGGGTTTCCAACACCCCCCCCCCCCCCCATCCGCCACTGATACCACATTTCTATAGATATACTCTATACATATAGTGTTAAGATGTCTCTGCTGCCACTATCAAATTAGCATCCTTATGTTTGTATTCTTGGACATTCGTTACAGGCCAGACCAAGGATTTGTATAGTGTATCACTATACAAATCCTTGGCCAGACAAATAAAACCATATACCATCTTCAAATGATTGATTGATTGGTGTTTAATGCCACTTTCACCTCTATTATGCTATATCGTGGCGATCAGTTTTTATTGCTGAGGAAGCCAGAGTGCCCGGATAGAACCACAGACCTTCGGTAGGAAAACTGACAATCCTAGTCAATTAAGATTGGAGTCGAATGCACCTTACCATGTGCTGGATTTGAACTCACGACCTCAGTGTTGACAGGCTAGTGATATAGTAGTACAACTACTTAGACCACTCAGCCACCAAGGTCCCGCCAACCTTCAAATGATTTTTAAAATATCACATGTCCATGTTCTGAGTGAATCACAAACTCTAGGTCAAAACCGTTTTGGCATATATTATATAAAGGTCACATCATAATGAGCACGTGTGCCAAGTTTCAAGTTGATGTGACTACAACTTCATGGAAAACTACCTTAAACCAAAAGTTTAACCTAATACAGGATTAATGGACAGACTAACAGATGGACAGACACACAGACAGGAAAACATAATGTCTCCTACAATCGCAGGTAAAACAAACAAATTGAGAAAAAAAGAATCACTTTGAAAGTGACTATCACATGGCAGTTGCTGCTGTTAAAGTTAACTGCCCATTTTTCTAAAGGGTCAACATGCAAGAATAGCATTTCAAAGAATAAAAGATTCTCTGGTAAAGATGGATGGCAATAAAAAAACAGAAGAATAGCATCTCCGGTAGAGATGACTGGCAATAATAAAAGAGAAGAATAACATCTCCAGTAGAGATGGCTAGCAATAATAAAAGAGAAGAATAGTATCTCACGTAGAGATGGCTGGCAATAATAAAAGAGAAGAATAGTATCTCTAGTAGAGATCCCTGGCAATAATAAAACAGAAGAATAGTATCTCCAGTAGAGATGACAGGCAATGATAAAACAGAAGAATAGTATCTCCAGAAGAGATGGCTGGCAATAATAAAAGAGAAGAATAGTATCTCCAGAAGAGATGGCTGGCAATAATAAAAGAGAAGAATAGTATCTCTAGTAGAGATCCCTGGCAATAATAAAACAGAAGAATTGTATCTCCAGTAGAGATGGCTGGCAATAATAAAAGAGAAGAATAATATCTCCAGTAGAAATGGCTGGCAATAATAAAACAGAAGAATAGTATCTCCAGTAGAGATGACTGGCAATGATAAAACAGAAGAATAACATCTCCAGTAGAGATCCCTGGCAATAATAAAACAGAAGAATTGTATCTCCAGTAGAGATGGCTGGCAATAATAAAACAGAAGAATAGTATCTCCAGAAGAGATGGCTGGCAATAATAAAACAGAAGAATAGTATCTCCAGAAGAGATGGCTGGCAATGATAAAAGAGAAGAATAGTATCTCCAGTAGAGATGGCTGGCAATAATAAAACAGAAGAATTGTATCTCCAGTAGAGATGGCTGGCAATAATAAAAGAGAAGAATAGTATCTCCAGAAGAGATGGCTGGCAATAATAAAACAGAAGAATAGTATCTCTCGTAGAGATGGCTGGCAATAATAAAACAGAACAATAGTATATCCAGTAGAGATGGCTGGCAATAATAAAACAGAATAGTATATTGACTTTTTATTCAACAAGAAGGACTAGAGAAAAATCACCTGTAAGTATATATATATATATACAACCAAACAATGAATATACAGACTAGCTTGTATTTTCATGTAAAATAATAAAATTCTAAAAAAATCCAAAGATTTAAACTCTTAATAAAGATAAATTATAATTTTTAATGTAGTATTAAAATCTCAAATCTATTTGTTTGCATTATGGACTTATATTAGGTTATTGACAATTATTTCAGATATTTTCATCTGTCCCAAATCTGATAAGGTCGTTTAGAGTCTAAAAATTGTAATGGTTCAAACTGTAGGTATAAAACAATAACCAAATTGGCAAACTTAAAAAAAGAAAGGTTTTTTTCCAGATTTTAAGACATTTCAACTTTTTATTTGAGCAGAAAATTGTCTTACATATACTGAAAGATTCTTTTCATCCAAATTTTGTTAAGACACAAATTCATAGGGGATGTAACTCTTTAAATAACACTTCACATAGACTATGCTATCAATTTACCAAAAAACGTTTGCTAAAAAAGTTGGTAAATACAATTTTTCTCTTTATTTTCTGAAAATTTGAAATGAAACTTTTCTCTTTTTGTCATTTCAGGTTTCATAAACTTAGAGCTTAATACAAAGTTGAGACATATCATTTCCATATTTAAATTTAGAAAAAAAATGGCATGATTTTGTAAAAGAAGGAGAAAATTCTACAAAATTAGTTTAGATCCCTAAACCACCTTTTAGTTATTGACAGACTTTCTGAAAATATAACAATGTAATCTGTTTAGAATATCCCCTTAGTCCAAATTTCTATGCAAGTTTTTGTTTTAAAAGAAAGGAACACATGCACCCTCCCCACTCCCATTATCCAATCAAATTAAAGTCCACTACCTATAGTTGAAATGTGAGATTCATAAAAATGTGTGAGCACGAAGTATTGCACCTCGAATCAAATCAAATCAGATTTTATTTATCCTTAATCCTGAAAAATGAGAAAAATAAATATATCATAAAAATCTTGTATAATCCTATTACAAATGAAAAATAAAACTATTTATGATGATGAAAATCAAGAAGTGTTTGCACAAAAACTTTGAACGTCTCAACTTACCAAATGGAATTGAAAATGAGAAATAAAAATTTTCATTAGAACAGAAATATCTCTACATTAAAAAGACTTAACCAAACTAACAATAATAATACATCTATCAGAATACCATCCTATGGTACAATACTTTAACTTAAGTCACTATCAGATATATATATATATATAATTCTTAATATAGAAATAGAAACAAATAATAGAAGTAGTGCTATGTTAGCCAAGGAAGAATTTATCAGGAAACTCCATATGAAGTCGTGATATCAATTGGGAAGAAATCAAAATGTTTCTTTTTATAATTAACTTCTTTAAAATAGAGAAATAAGGGATTAAAATAAAGTCTATGAAAATTACAACATTACAAATCCAGCTAAATGCCTTGATAACATTTAACATTGCACTCCATTCCATCTAAGATTTTGAAGGCTTAAATCATAATTTTTAGAACAAAAAGAGAATTTTCTCATTGTACGAAAAATTAATTACACATCATACTATTTATTAAAGCATTGGATGATCCAAAATAAAAATTTGTCCATCCGCTGCACAGATCTTTCTATGGCTTAAAATAACAAAACAAAAATAAAGTGGTATTCAGTGTTTCAGGAAAATATCAAGTTTAAAAATAAAAATTCAGGTATACAATATGAACACAAAAATACTAAACAATAAATGGAATGTTAACATTTTTCAAATATTTCAGGGATGTACGTATGGATCGGTTCCAAAGATAAATCTTTAGAATTCATTCCAGTCCATAGGGCCATCCCAAGTTTTTTTCAGCCTGTCAGATTTTTTTTTATATTTCAGTATTCAAAAGTATGGATATTTCATTATAAATAACGTAATAATATAATATATACAAAATTAGCACTAAACTCTTGGAAAGTAAACAGTTTGTTTTGGATTTCAATTTCAAGTAAATTTAATATATTTTATTTCAAATATAAATATATAATGATATTCACAGTGACTAAGAAAATAATAAAAAAAAACATATATTTCTGAATGAACACAAGAACTTGGAGAAATTGAGTATGAAGTAATTCCACTATAAAATTTTCTTCTTTTCATATGGACATGTACTTTGTTCTCAGTACAAAAAATCTTCAAAAAACTTGGTTAGTAAGTTATACTGAAATGTTAAAGATAACAAGTATTTTTTCTTTTAAGATTATTTTGTAAAATGAGTAGCACTAATTGGCCATTTTTTGGAACAAAAGTAAAATTACAATTCATATTAAATAAACAAACAAGCTGAATCTGAATTCATATTAAATTAGTCACATGATCCATCATTATATCTAGAAATAGCAGTTACTCAACATCCACACAAGAAACAATTTCATTCATTCAGATATCGTCACTTGTAACCCCATAGTTTGGGAATGTACACACAATGTATCTCCCATAAAAAGTTCACAATAATCAAGTCTCATTTGGCATACTTAAAATTGTCCAGTCCTTGTAAAAGTGTAAAAATTATTAAACCAAAAACTTTTATAATTTAGGCATCCTTTTCCAAACTTTTGCAGTGTCAATATCTCTTGTTTTGGACAGTAAAACATTAGCCAAAAACCCCAAAACCAAAAGAATTTGTGATCTGTAGTTTTTACACCAATAATTACTGATGAAAAAACAGCAAAAGAATCATGTATTATGTATAAACTCTATTATTTAGGGACAAAATGGCGGCAGTATTGAAAAAAGAAGAAAAAACATGTCCTCCTCCTTAAAGAATATTTTTGTCTTTTGTAATATAACTATAACAGTCTACATTGTTTTTTATGAAAGTATTTGACTAGAGAATGTAAGTGAGGTATACTGTCAGACTTATTTACATGTATTAAGAAGAAAAAGTACACAAAACTTTACAATTTACATTAGTGATAATAAACAACAAAATATTTCTGTTCAAAACTTTCTTTCTTTTGAAAAATTTGTTTACATATTCTCGATCTTATTTCAATTTCATACTTGATTTATATGCTTCAATAAATTTGTAATCTGTAATTCTATAAAACAGTTAAGAAAAGACAATATCGAGAAAAAGAAAAACATACTATATGTTAGTAGTGAAGGAAAGTTTGGACAGTCTCAATCATTTGAATGATATTGATGATTCCTGAACTCTGACCTGCAGCCAATGGGAGACATCACATATGATAGAACCGGTACATATCAAAATATCCCATAGTTCATAAAGAGCCTGGACTTGGACTTCCGTATCCGCTTGACAAATCGTCACTGAGACTCTGAGTCTGTCTTTTGATTTGAGTCAGTGCATTGTAATTGAATGGCATGTTAGCAAAGACCATTCTCTCCTCGTAATCATATTCACACAATATTTTGTTATCACACAAATAGAATTTGTCTCCGACACAAAATCTGAAGTAGAAAAAAAAATTTGTAATCTACAACTCTAAGAAAAATTGTATATCAGGTCAAAAATGGACAATATAAAGCATTCACACAATAAGAATTAACATGCAGTACTCGAGTAGATGAGTTTGTTAGACATATGCATTAAAGTCGACACCATTAGGATATTTTGAGGTGATTCAGAAAGAATATGGAAAAAATTATGAGTTATCTTCCCTTAAAACAAGGTTTTTGTGAAATTCTGTACATTTCTGGTCAACACATGATTTATTGTTGTTTTCCATAATTTCCAGTGACAAATATTGCATGCAAATTCAGGACAAGACTATTTAACATTAGATTTCTTCCAGATGTTCTTAATTTTTTATACATCAGATATATTTTGACTAATTTCTAAACAGCCAGACTGGAATTCCAATTTATTTAATTTGTCAAAATAAACTTTGAAAATATTTATGTATAACCCTAACACTTATCAGGAAGTCCTTTTGTTTTCTTCCAAGATTTGAAAAGACTTTCATTTCAATATTAAAAAAGCATGATCCCTTTGGTATGAAGAATACACACTCTCTCTTCATTCCTACCTTATCATAAATCCTTTGAACACCAATAAAAAAGAAATGTTTTGTATTGAATAATTGAATTTGCATGGGTTCCCTCTGCTAATTTTATCTATCAAAGCAGGTAATTAGCGAGAAATTGTTTTTACCTGTGATTACATTGTTGACAAGCAAAACATTCCAGATGATACACATTACTTTTGGCTCTCATAACCATTTCAAATGCTGGAATCATTTTACTGCAAGCAGCGCAATAACCTGTTGTACCAAATAATCTGAAATCATACAATATTCATCAGTCAGCTAAATGTCTGTTTTCAGAGAATGAATTTCTGTAGCAGTGAATTTTGTGGCCTAAATTACATGGGTCCAACTATACTAATAAAGAACTGCGCCATTAGCGCATGATATGCCTGTCGCTTTTTCTAAAATAAAGTTCCATAACTACTCAATGTCATATCAGAAATTTATAAAAAACTAAAGGAAGGTTATTTTAATAAATATAAACCTCAGTCATTAAAGTTTCATGAAAACTACTCAAAGCACTTTTGAGTTATTGTCCAAACACTGGAAAATCCCCTTCATTTAATGAAAAAAAACTCATAACTGGAAAATCACACTTTTTTAATGAATAAAACCCCATAACTGGGAAACGTAAAATCTAAAATTTATAAAAATTGAAAGGGAGCTCACATCAATAGATATAAACAATTCACTAAAGTTTCATGAAAAGTTCTCAAAGCGTTTTTGAGTTATTGTCCGACATGTTGATGACGGACGGACAGATGGATTGACAAAGGTATATCATAATACGTCCGGTAAATGGGCGACTAATAAAAACCTGATTATTTGTAGATAAGCTAGTCAACATATAAATCATTCCCTAAAGGATTTTTAACTTATTCCTAGAACTGAAAGTAGCGTTTTCATTGACCTGTAACCTTTGTCTTCTTTCGGTGACTATAATAGTTATTTTGTTGCTAACTTAGTATAAGAAACCTTTCTACAATATTTGTTTCAAGTTATTTTTGATATCTCATAACCTAAACTCCATCCACGTGATATATTTAGTTTAATGAGCGACAACAAAGAAACAACACTTGCTCACTACCATACAACCAACATTTCCGTCACATTTAGACTTCAATTAGTTCAGCTTATAACAAGAAGACCATTGAATTTTTAGCTGGCCTATCAATGAAGTCCTACAGAACAAATGTTTCAGTGTTTGTTAAAAATTTATTTTCAAATATGAAATGTTGGTAATTTTGGTTAAATATAGCAGAGTTATGGCTAATAATCTTTAATGTTATGACCTATACACAGGATAGAAATATTACTTGAAAGAACTGATTTGAAAAAATCAAAAGTAATTTCATGGTTTGAAAATGAAAAGTTGCCTCTGACAATGATGATCCTTAAAACTAATCAAATAGAAGATTAAAGCTATTATAACATACTTTTTTTTCTATCAAATGAAGTGATATTTTGTGATTTTGCATAATCATATCTGTTAGTATTACATTGGCATCTTTCTAGCTTAATAAAGTTATATCTATAACTCATCAAAGTTACCTGGTAATTTGGTACATTAGATTCATCAGTGGCGCTCAAACACAAAGATAGAGAGCATTCAAAATCATTAAATTTTTGAAAGTTGTTCCAATTGGGGCTAAGGCAATCTATGCCTGTGGTTGAGAAAACCTTAGTGTTTTGAGTAAGTGACTGATTGATTGATTGGTGTTTAACACCGCTTCCAGCACTATTGCGTTATTTTGTGGCAGTCAGTTTTTATTGGGGGAGGAAGTCGGAGCGCCTCACTCAGGAGAGAACCACAGACCTTTGGTAGGAAAACTGACAATCCTAGTCAATTAAGATTGGAGTCAAGAGCACCTGCCACATGCTGGATTTGAACTCACAACCTCAGTGTTGACAGGCTAATGATACAGTTGATCAACTACTTACTACTACAACAAAAGTACAGACTACAATGGACCTTTCTTCTTTTACTTGACAATCACATTTACATTTCAGACTGTGGTTTAGATTTTGTTTCTAGCTATCAATCATACACTCAACAAACTCTCACCTCAAATAATCTCTCCTGCACAGTAACAAGTTAGCCTTGGCAAACAGTGTTGATCCCACCTCTCCCAGACGACAATCACAGCAGGAACATTTGAGGCAGTCCTCGTGCCAGTACTGATCCATGGCCTTTAACATGTAGCGTTCTGTTATCTCTTTCTTACATCCAGTACATTCCTGCTTCACTCCAAGACTGGAGGCCTCCTGTGATATCTGCATTTGACCTGAAAAAAGAAATAGAATTCAATATTTAAGTGTGAAAATAGTATTATTGGGGTGGATCTAGGGTTAATGAAAGTGGTCATAATAGTCAGTAATGGTAACAGTTGTGGCTAGCGAAGCAAGGTGAATGTCTTTTTTTAATGATTTCAATTAATCAAAAGGAGAAGGGAGGTGCCTACAGCCTCTACATCCCCACCTGAAACTTACACTGACTTTACATGTAATACTGGTTACTTTGTTTGGTAATGATGGACCCAGGTTCCAGTGTAATGGATTAGTTGCTTGCAGTTCATTAGCTTAAATGGTGACAAACAATTAGTAATAGTTTATGAGTGAATTAAATAATAACTGTTTATTATGGTCTGACCAATAATGCCTCCTTAAGTAAACAAAAAGTTCTCACAATTTAAAAATTAGGACATGTGGTATGATTGTTAAGGAGACAACTTCATGTTGAGCCTTACTTTGAAATGTGGAACTTACAATTTGAAGTATTGTATGAAATAATATTTTATTGGCAGTTCCAATTACTAAATCAATGTTGGATGCATAATCATTTCTTTTTCCAAGATGATTAAATTTCAGAAAAAATGTATATATTTTTCGTTTAAAACCTTAAAAAATAAAAAATAAATTTAGACTACAACACATTATTTTATTTCCCCCCAATATAAAAGCAATTCATTTCCATATATTATAAAAATAGTTCATTCAATGAAACACTAAAGTCTAAAGAAAGTGAAATGACTGAATGAGGAAGACATTTCAATACCTGAACACAGAAAATATTTGCACAACATTTATGTTAATATCAATACATTTAAATATCTATCTTTCCTATAAACATAGAGAAAACTACATTTTATAAGAATATATTTAGTCTATCTGACCTTAAGAGAGTGTTTACATCCAAGAAAGTGCCAACGACAACTGTTTTACACATAGAATGTTAAATAATCTCGTATAATTACAGCAATCTAACTTCTATTTATCATTTACCGGCAAATTAATGTTCCCTAATGTCATAACTACAACGTTCTCTAATGGAACTGTTTGTATAACTTACATATGGCAAATTTCAACACAAAATATTTTTATAATGGTGTGTGATATGAAACCATTTGGCTGGAAGGCTGAGTACTGAAAAACCTCCGTAATTAATAAAGCAGAAATGAAATATGAAAATGTAATTTGTCTTGGCCAGGTGTACTGGGTGATTAAGCTGTACACATTACATATCTATCATACAGAGTTAATGTTCATCTTCTCGTAAATTACCTTAATTAAAAGAAACTTACTTTTTAGTACAAGGTTTTATTAATGCAATGGAACAGCTATTTAGTATTACTTTTCTTTTATAATACAAAGAAAAGATGAAATCGAAATAGATTTTTAATTAAACTTTTGATCCAGTGATTATGTTTAACATTATTAAATATTGTTAGTATGAGTAGTAAGGTCTAATGTTGACCTTTCTGAATATTAGTCCAACTTTTTGCCCATTGGCAAACTATACTACATAACTATTGCAATGACGTTATGATGTAAGATAGTTTATTTGGTACAATTTCTTACCGAAATATTCTTAAATATTGATCATATAACTTTCTGTAAACAAAACTTTTGGGGTTTTGACACTTTTTTCTCAATAAAACTATACCGGTAATGAATAAGTCACCAGTTTCAAAATACTTAGTACTTACTCATAAATTATAAGTAAGACATTTGAAAAATAGAGCCTTTCTTTTGTGCTTGTTGAAAATTTTCAATTAGTGCATACTTTATACTTAACACTCAGCAAAGCTGTCAAAATATGTAAACTATAACTTCATTTTGATAAACTACCAAAATAATCAGGTGAAATCTGTGTTTTTATTATAATTAGTTACACAAATCATAATCTTCAAGATCTATAACCATATTTCATATTTCCTGAATGAACTACACCACCCCCCTCTTTTTTTGTAATAATATGCATATAAATAGTGATAAAATCTGCATCTATTAATCACATTGTGAGGCATTTATCACTATAATTCACTGATGTCAGTTTCCCATCTGATGTAATGTAAATTTCACTTTTGTTTACTAATGGTCACAGCCATCATATGGATGTCAACACTATCCATCATACTGGTGACAGAATCATTATGTATAATGGACCCAGTCAAAATTACTCTCTTTATCTCCCATGCTGTTTACAAAATGAACGTTAATAGTCTCAACTTGGTTAAATAATGTTGGCTTTTTCAATTAACTAGTTTTGAAAGTTGTGAATACTATCAGAACTAAAAAAGAGATGTCTGTAAAAGATGCCATTTTGTTATGTTGTTAATGCAGTCTACATGATATACAGGTAGTTAAGTGATGCCATTGATTTAGGCCTTATGGTATTAAAGTAGTAACGATATTCTGACCATGACCTCAAAATTACTCTCAAAATCATGTGTTATCAAAGTTTTGAAATTCCACTGATTTTAACCACACAGTTTTTTTTCCAATTACAGCCAATAAACCAAGAATTTGAAGTCATTCCCTTCAATAGTTTAACAGATGACCTAAGATATGTTCCAAGACAATTTCATAACCTTTCACTCTACTATGACATCACAAAATGCATATTTATCACAAACATTTTGCTTGTCATTAGCAGCTGAATGGGTGCCACTGAGTGGAGCAGCATCAACCTTACCATCTGAAGCACCAGAGATTTTTTGTGGGTTATTCGAGTCGAACAGTCTTTAGTTTTCTGAGTAGTGTTTGTCCACTGTTGTTTTTCTTTTGTTTGTTTTATCTTTCCGGCTATGGTCTGTTTTGTTAGACATGATTTTTTATTGTCCCGTTGGTATATTCTGCCTCTTTTTTACAGCCCTTTGTTATTGATATAATCATATTGCTAATAAGAGTTATGTCCCTTTCCAATATATATATAGATATAATAATATGTGAGAGAGTTCACTCACACTTATTAAATGACAAAAGCCAGCATTCTTACATACGTGATGCTTAAATACATGAACTAAAACACGAGAAAGAAATTATTAATTTGACTTGTGCATTTCTATGCTAGCCATTCCTGTTATATTATTTATCGTTATTTTATTGTTCTTAATCTTCTTTATGAAATAGAAAAGTCTTACAGGATAAAGAAAATTGAAAATTAAAACACCTGATGCTAATGTCACATTCTTACTGTGTTTTGTGCATTTGTAAGTCGGGAAACAGTAAAACATGGTATGGACAACAGAGTGGATGTAAGTCAGGAAACATTAAAACATGGAATGGACAACAGAGTGCTCAAATAATAATGATGTATGTCAGGAACCAATATAACATGGTATGGACAACAGAGTGCTCAAATAATAATGATGTAAGTCAGGAACCAATAAAACATGGTATGGACCAACAGAGTGCTCAAATAATAATGATGTAAGTATAAGGATAGGATCTGATGTTGTAGATATCAGAAGGACTAAGGGCAGACAATATGATGGTACTATTCATTAAATATGGATTGAGAAATGGATACTTCAAACACTTACATCGATGATACTGACATTATGTGCCGAACAGTATCATACTGGGATAAACATCAATGATGCAGCTACCCAACAATAATGTTTAAGAAAATTGAGCAAACTGCACAACGCATGCATTTCTACTTAACACAAGAACTGCCATTACATGCAAACCACCAGTTTTCATCTCATAATAATGATATTCAAATTAACTTCAGATTAGAATCTATGAAAAACAGATCTTAACAGGTTTCAAATTGACTTTCTGGGAAAATTAAGTTGACCTATTTCCACTTCTTGAGACATCGATTTGATCCTACTTTTAGTATATGCCATTCAATTACTACTTAATCAAATCTCTAACATCTTTACATCATATTTGGTATTGACATAAAATATAAGCACGCTATGTAGTAATATTTTTACAGAAAATATCCTGCTGTGAACCTCACCTGGGTCTGTAAATTTGAAAATTAATAAGTGTTATAATCAGGGGCCAACAGAGGTAATTAACACTAGGACAGTTTCCTTCACTTAAGTTAAGCCTGTGATTGATGGAGACTATTTGATCTTCAATGATCACTGGTAATGTGTCAATGTTGGAGGCCACTGAAGGGAGAGGCATGTTGCTTATCTGATTAGGCTTGGTTGTGATTTGGTAATAATAACAGGTTTTCAATTAATTTCCAACTTTAGGATATTGGTTTGAATTAGGTACTGGAGTGAGAAAAGAAATAGGAATACTAAATGGGTTGAATACAGAAGAACTATACTTTCACTTTTTGATAAATGTTGAAATAGATATTTCTATATATGAAAGTTATAATATTTTTATAAAATCTAGAATAAAAACAATAAAATTAAACTTTAATGCAACCACCCAGAATTAAAGAAAAAAAACAATTTATAACAAATTTTGATTACACAAGTTCTCTGTTGTTTATACAACTGTTTCTGAATATCAAATGAGGTTTGGATTCTTTTCACAATTAATTGATCAATTTTTCCCTGTCGTAAAGTTATTAACCACTTTTCTACTAAGTGCTCCCTGAATTTATTTATCTTTTTTCATTACATGGGATGGAAGTCATGGTGTGTTAATCAAAACTACTTAAAATATAAAACCAGAAAACAAAACTGAACTAATAGACAAGGTTATTTCAGTAGTGCAAATAATATGAAAATTCAAAATCACTTACAAAAGTGGAACATACATATTTCAAATGAAGCGTAAAAAGTAAATATCTTGTCATTTCCTGACCTTGTTCTCCAGCACTTTCCTTGAGAAAACTAAAACTTGGTACCCTTCTCCATAAACAACCCAGGATCATCTCTACCATTTTCAGATTGTTCATACAACAAAGGAGGATTAAAGAAGTGAAAGGGATCCATACATAATAGACTAAGTAAGAGTTAATTATAGATTGATGTGTTACGCTGGCTAAACTAAACATGTCTTCATACTAAATTATTTACTAAACATA